AAAAGTGTAATTTTTGGATTTGGATACAGTAATCATTTTTTCACAATTAATACATAATCACATTGCCGAAACATTCTTCTTAACTCCTTTTAACTCATTTTCTCTGAGTAAATTTAAATATATTTATTTTTAAAGATTTCTAGTAATGCTGCATATATTTATTTTTGGAAGTAAAGTGGAAACTGAAAAATAAGATATAAAATAAATAAAGATATGTTGAATAAGACTTCAGAAAATATTAGATATTCTAGAGAAGAAGTCACAGTAGTACTTTATTAGTGCGCATTCATTAAAAAAACAAAAACAATAGTACCTTAATAGAGCGCATTCATTAAAAAAAAAAAGTACCTTTATTAGAGCGCATTCATTAAAAAAAAAAAGTACCTTTATTAATAAAGAAAAATTACAAACACGTTAAAAGCAGCACCTAAAAAAGCATAATGCAAATAACTTACAATGCATTTTATTATTTCTTTTAAACCAAATAAATGCAGCAAAATATTTAGAAGATGGATCAGATGTTATCAACTTTACTTCACACTGCATTTTCCAAGCAATTTCTAATGTAGAAACATTCCAAGACACAATAGTGTTGTCAGAGCATCCAATAAGATATTTATTAGATTCCTTGTGACAAAACATAAGGGACCTAAAAAAAAAGAAAATATATCAAGTATTTAAAGGGACCACCAAGTCCCAAGACATGTTGTGTTTATATTAAAGAGAATGTTAAAAAAAAAAGTCTGAGCAAATTTTTTTTTTAATTCTTTAAAAGTTCATTAAAATTTTACTATTAAATTTTACTAAAATAGCTAACTATAGTTAGTTAATTTATTTTCTAAAATCTTCATATTGAAAAATTTTTTATGTTTTTTTGTAGCTATCAGAGCCGTGGCTACATGGGCCACGGCGATGATGGACCTAGGCACCCCTATGGCGCCAAATCGGGTTATATATTATCTCCAATGATTCATGAGTGTTAGTTATAATAGCTATATTAGCTATTTTAGTAAAATCTAATAGTAAAATTTTTAAAGAATTTCTAGAATGTTTCCAATGACGTCATGTACTAAAACTTCTATAAATTAAACGCACTTGAATAAATTATCAAGTCTGTATAATGCGCCTGGAAAATCGCGTTTATTTTAAAGACTCCAAATACCGCAGAAAATGGAGAAGTCAAGCTTCAACTAAAACAACAAGATTTGTTTTTCTTGGTATACATTTATTAATTAGTTTTAATCAAAAAAAATTTGCTCAAACGTTTTTTTTTAACATTCTCTTTAATATGAACACAACATGTCTCAAGACTTGGTGGTCCCTTTAAGTTTATATTAAGAAATTAATGTATAAAGCATTTAAGTAGAAAAAACTTCTTTATTAAAACTTCATAAATTGGAAAAAATACAGGAAAGAAGATATTATTGTTAATTATCAGAAATATAAGTACAATATAAGTTTCAAAAGATTCAATATTTCTAATGGCAAATATATAATAATATAAACAAAATTATTAAAAGTATAAGAAAACTTTCTAGTAGTTTAATACACTGTTCACACTTAAGAATATTGGATGAAACATTCTATGAAACATGGAACATGAACAAAAATTTTCTTGTGTGAACACAACTTAGACAAAAATTTTAGGAACACATGAGGAATTTTTGATAAAAACAACTTTTGGTGACATGGTGAGAAACAAAGTTATCTAATCAGCTTCAGTTGATATGGCAAAAAAAAATTGCTCAAACCCAAAGTTTGTAAAGACTTTGTCAATGGTGTTGTTGGTAACAAAAAATCAGCATTTATATTTGTTTATTAAACAAAATACTTAATATAATATATATATATATCAATACTTAATAACTATTATATTAAGTATTTTGTTTAATAAACAAATATAAATGCTGATTTTTTTTATTTTTACATTAAATTTCACTAATTACCAATCAAAGAAAAACAAAAATTTTTTCTCGCAAAGCCTTAGTTAGTAAAAAATAGTAAAAAATAAAAATTTCTTATTAAGTTGAATGAAAAATATAATAAAAAATAAATGAATGAAAAAGTAAAAAATAAAAATTTCTTATTAAGTTGAATGAAAATTGCCACATAAAAGAATTTCAGATCTCCAATTTTTTTTTTTTTTTTTTTTTTTTAAATTTAGAATTTCATAATTTATGAACGATCCTTAAATAGATTTATATAATAAAATAAATTTAAATAAGAAAGTCATGTGTATTTCTGTCTTTTTTGGTTATTTAATATTTAGAGTCATTCGTTTAAAAAGTTTATATATGCACTTTTTTTTCTTCCTACTAATAGCAAATATTACTTATACAATTTTCTCCAGTTGGAAAATAACTCTGTTTTTTTAAAAAACAAAGATTCATTTTTTAATTAGTTTAACGTTGGCATATCTCATTAATTATTATACTTCTAACCACTTTATTAACCTAAAGAATTTTTTACACAATCACAAAAAACTTATTTTTTTTTTTACCTAACTAAGTTTTGACTTGGCTAGCTTTAACTTGAATTAATGGCCATCCTTATGTATTATATTTTTGGGGCATATAGGCCTATTCATAAAACCAAGATCTATAATAAAAGGGATTATAACCCCCCTCCCCCTCCAAAAAAAATAAATTTATCGGCCAACCCTGAGCATTATGGGCATTTAATTTCAATTCTTGAATACAATTATTAAAAAAAAAGTTTTATACAAAACTGCATGGCACTAATTTTTATTCAAGTTTTTATTGCATTATTAATTTTTATTCAAGTCATTAACTTATGTTTTAAAGACTGTTGCTAAATCATAACGACTTCTATTTACAAAAGTTAACATTTGTTAGCAATGTTTATTTTTTGTAACAAACTGATTTCAAGTGTGAATACTACAAGGAACATTTTGTCGAACATTCCAGAATAATATTCTCCCAAATGTCGCTTGTGTAAACATGGTGTGAACATGGTGTGAACATGGTGTAAACATGGTATAAGAGTAAATAAATAGTATAAAGAAAATTATGAAAAGTTACTATAGTAATTTAAGAGTAAAAACAAAAATGTTAAGTGTAAATACTTGATAGGATCTAATTCACAATTCCAACTAATTGTGCTTTCCAATGAAAGGTTGTCAGGGTCCCATATTGTTATCTAAATAGAGCACATGATATCCCACTATTAAACATATTTATTATATACTCAATTACACTTAATGTTATCATATTAATTTACATTCTTTGTTGTTAAAATTTAAAGAATTTATATAAATTTTATATAATTTTTATACAAACTTTAGAATACTATTCCAAGATTTAAGGACAGTAAAACCTTTTAATAAAACCTATACCTTATACCTAATTATAACTATACCTAACAGAAATGAAATAAAAATATACACAAATATATATATATATATATATATATATATATATATATATATATATATATATATATATATATATATATATATATATATATTAGGGTGGTCCAAAATTATAAATTATTGAAATTCATTTCTCCACAAGGCTGCCTTTGTTCCTATTAATATTTGCAATATTGTAGCCAAATTTGAAGCAAATCGGATAATATTTAGGGGTTGCTATGAATTTTGACTTTTTGACCACAATGATAAAAAAATCAAAAAATTTAAGTTTTCACTATAAATAAAATATCGAATTTAAAAATTAATGCCACTAACAATTTAAATCAGGTAAATAGAATGCCTGTAGAGTATCTAATGAATATAGATCATCAATTGATCAATTTTTATTAAAGTATATCAACGTTTCGCAACTTTCGTAATTTTTAAACAAAAAACTGTAATATCAAAAATATTGTGAATATGTTGAAAAATGTATGTTTATTAATCAACGATTTCGTCATCTTTTGCCAACATGGCTGCCTTGGATGAAGTAGGGTATAGCTGGCGGTGACGTTGAACAAAACGAAGTAGGAACTGCTTTTGTTCTTCATCCTTTGTAATCGATTCGTTGTACTGTCCAATTAATGCAATTCCACGTTCTGCGCTGTCATTAACAACTTTCATTCTTTGGACTCTCTCTGCCAACTTCTGATATGATTCATCGTCCTCCCAATATTTAGGATCTTTTGAAATGATGTTTCTGGCCTCCTCTCTCCCTGTACTGCTCAACAACTCGAATAAACTATAGGTTCTCATAGTCACGAATGTCTCTAGTCTGTTGAAGTCGGTATTCTTGGAATCTACTCTCTTCAGTGCTAGAGTTGTCTTGGGCAGTTGGAGGTTAACCACCATGGCCCTCTTCACATCCAGATCAACGCGACTATCAAAAAATGCCAAACCTATAAGATGTTCCGAGAAGAACCAAAGGTGTCGAGAAAATGCAGTAAAAGCTGCATCGGCGATTGTGCGGTTTGGATACTTTTGGAACTGTTTCAGCATTTGAGCATCATTAAACGGAGCATTTGCAGCCAGTGGAGCTTCGTGCCAAAAACGTCCATAAATTAATGCCACAAACAATGCAAGCTCTACTAGACCTTTCTTCTCTCGAACAGTCAGAGTGAGCTGATCTTGAAATAGTACCATTTTCAGAGCGTAGATGGCCTTTGACATCCATTGAGCATGATGCATCACTCCTGGAGCTCGAAATTTTATCTCAGCACCAACAGAGCCTCCCCCTAGAAAGACCAGGCATAACCGAAGTAGTTCAAGATAATCTTCCCTAGGTTGTTTTTCGTCAATGGCTCTGGTGTAGAATGCTACCATTTCCTTTCGAAGGATTTCCATATCTCCGATGAAGAGTCATCTTTAGCTGGAGAGAATCTCGCTTGCTGAATATATGGCCACTTCTTCTGAAACCGTTTGAACAAGCCAACCTCAGGTCCCCCTGTTCCACCAAAGAGAGCTGTAAAGACATTGCTCAGAATGACCTCCAGAACATGGTGGCGGCAACCAATATTTACAAGATCACGACCAACTGCTTTCTCGATGAGAACACAAGCTTCTTTGTGGATACCTGTGTTGGACGAGGTTGTGTCAAAGACTAAACCCTGAAGTTTGTCTCGAATTTTCCAATCATCCAAGATCTTTAAGCAAGCTGCTGCTTGTTCCTCTCCAGTTTCTCTTCCAATTTTTGGAACTGCTAGCAATTTCTCCAAACCATTTCCAGTTACAATCACTGCAATTCGGTCCACGGTTTCTTTTGAACCGGTGATATCTGGAAGCAGTTTCTCATCCCAGTGTAGAAGCAAAGGAAATTCAATGGAAAAGTTGTCTTTGTCATTCTGAGTCACGTGTTTACGGGTAGACATTCGAGATCTCCTGATTGTACTTCAAGACAGAGTTAAGTCTGCAAGAGGATGTCCCAGTGCCTTAGCCACTGAAGCGACAACGAACATAGCTTTGCAATCTGGAAGGTTAACTCTGTCCAAAGCTCCAGCAACTTCCGGGCTGGAAACAATACTCTTCAGACGCTTTGGCTTTGGTGTAGAAAAAACAGATTGCGATGCAGAAGACAGAATCTCAAAACTTGGGTCGTCATCGCTGTCTTGACTGTCTTCTGAGCTGCTGATGTTGGCTGAGACAGGATCGAGATGACCACTGGAGTGTTGCTGTTTTGATAACCTTGCATCATAAGCTTGATCTCGAGCTCTCTTCTGGGCTTCCTTTGCCAGTAAGTTCTTATCAATTCCAGCCATGCTGCAGCTGGTAACATCTTCTCGCTGCATTGCAAGAAATTGCCTATCTTCAGCAATGGTTATTGTCTCCATTGCGGTTTTAGTTGCCAAGTCAAAAAGCTCGTAAAGTGTGTCTTTGAACATCTGTTCTTTAATTCTACTGCTTTCCAGGTCTGTGGTTCGATTCTTTTTTAGGAGCAGATAGGAATCGTATAATTTCTGAAGTTTTCTTTCACCAGAATCAATTCTTTGTGTTGGGATTCTTACCTTATTCCACATAACAATCAGCTCTTGAATCGTATGGTGAATGCTGTCCTTTATTGTGAGATGCTCTTCCAGATGATGAAAGAGGAAACACCGGAGGACATCTCCGTTTGTTGCCAATCTTGACGAGGAGAGCTGCTTAGATGCTTTCCCAATGAGCCATACCTCTGCAGAGCTTCTTGTAGTAACTGCCATAAGTGGTGTAATATATATTTTTATTATTTATTAATTACCTGCAGAAGTTTAAGTTGAAATGATTCTTTGTTCTTCAACTATTTAATTTTATATAATTAATATTTAGTACTTTATATTATTAACAGAAATGAAAAAACATTACTGAAAAACATAATTTGTTTTGAAATATTGCAGACATGTGCTTAATACAAGATGGTCACTTAATCATGTGACAATTGATAAAAGATTAGATATATAAATGAATTTTTATAGCATATTCTTTTTGAAAACTATTTAATTTAATAATAATTTATTTGTAATTCATTATATTAACTATATAATAAATATATATATAAAATATAATACTTAAGTATAAGAATATTTGTTACCAGAAATAAAAAAATAATCCTTATAAAATTTTTATTGAAATACTGCAGACATGTGCTTATTACAAGATGGCCGCAAAATCATGTGACAATAGACAACTAAAAGATATTAGATATATAAATGAATTTATATAGCATCTGCTTTTCAGCAAGCATTAATTTATTTACCACAATGTTGAGATAGATGTTCAATTATGCAAAACTTACACAAAAATTCGTAAAAATCGAGTACCGTCAAAAAAATGTTGAAATCATAGCGACCCCTAAAACTGTTCAGATTGGTCCAATTTTTTGTATGGTTATTCCCTAAGCATAGTGGAACAAAGTTAGGCTTGTGGAGAGAATCTAGACACACTTTGAATTTTCATTACACAAATCTGGACCACCCTAATATATATATAGAAAAATAAAATCATTTTCTCCATTCCTATAATAATAATTTTTTTTTTTTAATGTTTTTCTTTTTACATAATTGATCACTTCACCAATTAAATTTATTTCAACACCAATCAGTTTGATGTTCATAAAATAAAAAAAAGATTTCTTTCAACTATTCATGTCAAAATTTTTTGCAATACTTCATAAATTATCAACAAAATATCTATAAATTAAAAAAAAAGAAGCTAAACTCAGTAAAACATTAAACACACTTTAAAGTGCAATTTTCTTTATCTACGTGACTACCATACTGAAAAGAATTATAAATAATAATTTTTGTCAACTTGAGCCAGAGGATTTGAAAAAAGCTGTATATTTTTTTTATTTAATTATAATATTATCATGATTTAAATTAATTATTTAATTAGTTTATTTAGTTTTAATTTATTTAAATTATAATTTATGGTTTAAATAAATTTCTTTTCTTAATATTTCTATTATCTATTCAGTTAAATTTATATATTTACTTCAGAAAAAAGTGCAGCTAACAATGATCCATCATCAGAAAAACAAGCTTGGTGACAACTTTGTTTACCATAAGTTCCTATAGAGTGTAACTCCCACGCTTGTATCTGCTTGCCTAAACATTTTTATATATTATTTACAACATTATTACTTGAAACTTTAAAATTTTTATTTTTAGAGAAAAAAACTACTAAACAATTATCAATTTTTTGTGGAAATTTTTTTACAAACTTTTTTACTATTTAAAAAAAAAGAACCTTGACTATTCTTTCCCTCAGCTAACTGCCAACATTTGATATTTCCATCTTTACTCGAAGTAATGACATAGTAGTTCGATTTATGTGGACGAAATAGTAGTACATACACATCATCAGAATGAACAGGCTCAACAACAGAATTTAAGTAAAATCTAAAGATTTTGCAAAAAATAAATTTAATACTTTTTTAAAATAATAGAACATATACTTATATGTATTTACACACACATATGTGTATATAATTTATATACATATACACATATATATATATATATATATATATATATATATATATATATATATATATAAATATAAAAAGTGTGTATTTTTTAGGAGTCTTTAAAATATTTCTGCATAATAAAACTGCCCGAGTCGCAAAGTATAAGTACATGTGCCATTATTTCTTTCTGAAATTTATAACCAATTGTTAAAACTGTTGGCCTTTCTTTGCTAACATAAGGGGTCGTCCATAAAGTACGTATGCTCACAGGGGAAGGGGGGTCTTCAAAAAGCGTACAAAAGTGTATGGGGGGGGGGGGGGGAGGAGGAAGGGGGAGGGGTCGAATATAAAAGTGCGTACGCACTAATTAAAAAAAGTAATTTTTCTTAGTTAATGCTTGTATTTCTAACTTATCACCACTAACAAATACTTAACTATAACTAGATATTTTTTTAATAAATAACTAGATATTTTTGAATATAATAATAAATAATTTTTTTTTAAATAATAAAGCCATGACTTTGAAATGTCAGTTGGGGAGGAAGGGAAGTATACTTGCCCTTAAAAAAGATCTGATTACAATTTTTTTTTGGAAACTTTAAAGTTCTTTTTACTAAAGGAACCTTAAAATTAGTAAAAGAAGTTTAAATTTAACAATAAAAACGTAATAAATTTTAATGGGCTTGGTAAAAATGTTGTGGGTTTTTAGTATAATAATCCACAACATTTAACCCAAATAAACGGGCAGGCACGTTTATTTGGCACCTCATAGTTATCGTTTGATGTGTTTTATAAATGTAACAACTCACATACTTGGTTATGTTTGTTAGTTATTTAGAAATAGAGAAAGTTTTAATGATTTGCTTGCGATGGTCAAAACAATTGTTTTTATCTCCAGCCTGGAAACTTTCTTTCAAAATTTTAATGTCACAGTTTTTTACACCTATGTTGTTGTATCACAATTAAAGTAGGAGAATAACTACCGCGAGGAAAACACTTTTGTGCTCAATCTTATATAAATACAAAAATTCTTTGTGTATGAGAACATAGTTATTATTTCTTAATTATAAAAAATGTCACGTAACAAAATTGCATCATCTTATATAGGGTAATTTTTTTGATAAATAACGGGTGTTCACTTGAAATCCGGACTGACTTTAAGTCAATTTAAATCTGACATAATGTATTGCAATTGTACCATGTGATACATTATTTTAAAGCGTTTAAATTTAGCTTTAATATGATACATTTATATTTAGATTGAATGATTATTCAAATTGAAAATGAAACCTAAACAAGACGACACTCGAAAACGTGTGTACAACTTCTATATTGAAAATAAAGAAAAAGGCAAAAAGTACACCATAGATCATTTTGAAAAAGAAAAAATTGCCAGATCGACCATCTATGATATAATTAAACGTGCTGATGATGATTCTGGATATCTTAGACGTCTGGGTTCAAGAAAAAAAGCTCTAAAAATGACCCAAAAAAAAGTACAAGCGTTAAAATCAATGTTTGATCATCATGATGGCGTTTCTTATAGGAAAGCAGGTAGAAAATTTAGAATATCAGCTTCTTATGCCCATAAAATTATTCAGACAAAATCAAAGATCAAGAAGAGAAAGAAGAAAAAGATTACACATCGAACTGATAATCAAAAACTGATGGCAAAAACAAAGTGTGGTAGATTATATCGAGCTTTTAGCAAATTTGATTGGATCATTGATGATGAATCTTATTTTACTCTTTCTCATTCATCAATCAACGGAAACGATAACTTTTACACAACTGATATAAACCTCTGCCCATCTAGTGTCAAATATTATACAAAGCGAAAGTATGAACCCAAGCTCCTGGTCTGGGTAGCCTTTTCTGTAAAAGGAATGTCAAAAACTCTAATCCGTCAAAGTGGTCTTGCAATCAATCAAAAAATCTACTTAGAAGATTGTATTAAGAAACGTCTTATTCCTTTTGTTAATGAGCATCATCAAGACAGTCAATTCGTATTTTGGCCAGATCTGGCGACGTCTCATTATGCTAAATCTGTTCAAGCTTATTTAAATGGACAAAACGTCAGATTTGTACCAAAAGAAGATAACCCTGCAAATGTACCAGAAGCAAGATCTATTGAGGATTTTTGGTCAATAATAAAAGGTTTAGTTTACAAGGATAATTGGCAAGCAGAAAATTTAGAACAACTAAGGAAAAGGATAGTGTATTGCTTCAGCAAAGTTGATATCAATCTTGTACAAGAGTTTGCAAAGGGTATTTTATCAAGAATTGATTCTATAAAAAGGAAAAATTTAATTGAAAATAAATAAAGTATCATATTATAGAGAATTAAATGCTGATTTAAATCATATTTTATTTTTTTAAGTTGATAAAAAATTATGGAGTTACGACCCTTTAAAGTCAGCCTGGATTTCAAGTGAACACCCGTTATAATAAACTAAGAAGCTTGAGAAAACTATAAATTATAAATTTTTGAAAAGTATTTCAGCTAAAAAAATGCAAGCAATCAATTTAGTGTTTGAAAATTTTTAACTCTGAACATCAAGGTGACAGTGAAGTGTATTACTTTTCAATCGTTTAAAAGATCATTAACAAAAAATAAAACAAAAAAGTCTTGTTGAAAGATTGGTGTAGTTGATCTTTAAGCACTTTTGCTGGCAAACAGGAAACCTTTAAAATCAACAAACTGGCGAGAATGTTTGTTTGGTACCTTTAAAGATTAGGTTGTGGTTAAGGGCAGGGTGATAAAACTTTTTTAAGTAATCACAATTTAATACAAATACTGTTATCTTTATAGGTTTCAAAACATCGTTTTAATATTTTATAAACAAAAATTATTAATATAGTCTTCATTAATCAATTAATTTAAATTGTTGGTGATCTAAATCAAAGGGTGATTTCACCCAATCAAATATGTTTTCGATGACATGAATTTGATCAGAATTACTTTCATTTACTGTTAAATGAGTATCATTGTTTTCATTGTCATTTTTATTTTCCTCAGAGGTCGTGTTGATTATGTTTCTAAACACGCACTTGTGACGTTTAACACTTGCTTTAGAAGCGGGATAAATTTTGCAGGATTTGCAAGTTCTTTGATCAATTTTTTGTTGTGAAATTGATGGGCAGTACAAATCAAAGGAAGCTTCCATCGAAATTTATGAAACTATATATCCCAAGCGCTGCGCTAGAGAAGAAAAGTAAGGTTTAGAAATATTTTGTGCTACCTTTGGCTCAGGAATAAAAATTCCATCAGCAGCATGAGACATTACAACTAGACCTGGTAAAAAACGTTGAGGAAAATATTTTTTCCAGGAATTTCGCCAAGGTTTACAGCAATTCGGAACATCACACTTAACGATCATTAAAAAATATTGACTTTGTCTTACGTGATTTTCAATCCATTTTGAATCTTGCTCTGGTATTGGTGACAGTTGGGAAGGTTCAACATATTCAGCACAAACAGAATAGTTATCAATTACTATATCCGACCATACCTCAGCTAGAGTTTCTGCAGCTTTAGCAAAATTTTTTTTTTTTTAAATCAACGTCAATTGTTTTTCCAGATGCATTTAGATGTGTCCCAAAATGGTCATGTGGCAAAACCAATCCTGCTAACTCTCGACTCAGCGGAGCCATACGCCGTTCAACCCTGTTATATGCTGAATAATGAGGTGCATGAGTTCCTGTTAGATAGATATCCAAATCCCATTTTATAAATCTTGTAATTGCAACTTGCAATGGTTTGGGAAACCTTGGATTTTCATCAGGGCCTCCATCACATATAGGCAACAACAAATATAGGTTTTACCTGACCTTCTGGAGTACAAATATGAAGCTTAAAATTTTCAATTGAAACAAGACGCTCCAAATCACGGCCATGAGTAAAAGCAGTGCTGCTATCATGCTTCATAGATCTAATAGCAATATACATTGGGCCAGAATATGACACTGCGTCAGCAAATTTGTTTGGATCAATAATACAAGCTGCATAAACAGACGGTATAAGCTTATGTCTGGAAGCGACTAAAAAATCATGATCTGGCAAACGTACTTGATAATCAAAATGCATCAAAATTGGTGATTGTTTTGTTGCAGCTGCTAATCCTAATGGTACTTTAGCTTTGTCGTCTAGACTTAAATAAAAGCATGAATCTGGACCAAATATTGAACAAACTTCATCCATGTATTGCATGCAAGCAAATGTAAATCCAGCATCAATATGCCTATCACGAGCTGTATTAGCAGTCCTGATCAATTTGACAGGAACTGTCTTAATGTGACGTATTCCCTTAAGTGTGTTTGATCGCTTAGGCATCAGTCTTAAATAAGTTGCAGATCACGATAAACAATAACCCAGTTTTAGTAGGCATCAAGTGTCTTACATGAACCTAACTCCTGCAATCTTCGTCGATCGCTAGCAGCGGCTCCTATTGATGTGATGTTAACAATGGCATTAAGAAGATCTGGCTGATCTTCAATTACAGCTGGTCTACCATTTTTTTCTCTATTGAATTTAGAAAGTTTTGATTTTAAGTAGGGCGTGTCATCGACAATACCATTAAGTGTTCGTTTCAAACTTGCTCTGCGTTGTCTTTGACGGATTGCCTCGCGTTTCATTTTTTTAAGACGGTTTTGTTTTAATTTTATATTCGCTTTTCTAAAAAAAATCGATTTTATTTCAAGTTTGTCAGTTATCAATCCTGCACGGCGCACATTTACCAATGTTAACAGCTGCTCTTTTAACTGCGAAATTTCAGTTTGAATTTTCTCTTGTTGTGGAGTATGAGATTTTGTCAGCTGATCAATTGATACTTCTGTTTGTGATTTTTGACTTTTTTGAATATCAAATTTAGAAGAAGTAGCTAGTGTTTTATTGATTTCAAAATCTATTTTGTCTGCTTCATCGGATGTTAACAAAGCTTCTGGTCCCTCATCTGATATTTCGTTTGTGAGAGAAAGCTTCACTGCAATAGATTGATTATTTGATGTTTTAACATTAGACCAAAAAGACATCAACTGACTTTTACTTTCCATTGTTTTTTGTGTGAGTTCTTTAAAACTGAATCATACATCAGTTCTTTATGCTTAACTTTATACCACAATTTATTAGCTTCTTTCTGTTGCTCCTGCTTACTTTTTTGTGGCAAATCTTTTGCTACTTGTTGGTAAATAATTTTGTACTTTTCACTATTATTCATTTTAATAATTCCGCCTTCAAACTAATTTTTAACTGATTATTTAAAGCACAACTTAAATTTACAAGCTACAATAAATGCAAACAGGGGTTTGTTTAGTTTTTAAATAATTTATAGTATCTTATTTTTATTATAAAATATTTTTTACAAAATAAAGTTTAAAAATTTATAAAAAATACTATTTACATAACAATTTCAAAAATTATTACTTAAAGTTTAACAATACTTTAAGTAATAATTTTTGAATATATATCTGTGTGTGTGTGTGTGTATATATATATATATATATATATATATATATATATATATATATATATATATATATATATATATATATATATATATATATATATATATATATATATATATATATATATATATTAGGGTGGTTCAAAAAACATATGACAAAATAACACTGGATTTAAAAGTTTATTGAATTAAAAATATTTTTAGGGATGCCTTAAGACCTTTGAATAGTGTTGTCATGGTACTGAAATTTTAGTATTTGGTATAAAATATTTCATACCAAAATACTCGAAATAAAATATTTCATGCAAAATACTTAGCACCAAATTCAGTACATAAACGAGGGAAGGATTATACTGACCACAAACCAAATTATAAGCATGCAAAGTGCTCGACATCATAAATTTTTAACAAAAACTATTTCTAGTCTTTTTATTTAAAAAACTTTCTGAATAAAATTTTTTTCTGATACTTGTTTAGTGTCTTGGCACTGGCTTTTAGACTATAATTTTTTAAAAATCTGTTCAAATTTATGACATACCTCCTATCTATCAGAGATTGTTAAGAATTTCCAAAACATTTCAAATTAGACTTTAAATAACGGTAATGGTGCCATCACAAAAGATAAAGCTATTATTTCATAGAATAAATTTAGTTTTTCTTATAGAGCCAAAAAAATTGTAAAATTTAATTTTTTTTTCATAAAAGTCTGTCCGCTAGTCGCTGAAATTAAATGCCTATGGTTGGAATCGTCAATTTATCTTTAGATACTATATTTAGTTTCAGAAAAATATTTAATAAAAAAGAAAAATTCATAAATTTTATACTAATACAAATTGTTTCTGTTCAAAAAAGGGAAAAAAATACCTGAATGATGAACGGGCTTTAGCACTATTGTACAATTAAAATTTCTATGCACTATGTTAGCACTGATATGCTAGGCACTAAGAAAGACTTTTATCGTAACTACTATTTTAACAAAGAACCGTATTGGTACCAAAGTACCGAGTACCATGACAACACTACCCTTGAACATTTATGGATCCCTAATAATAATACATAAAAAAAGTGTTTAAATTAGGCGATTTTCCAATATACTTTGTGTACTATAACTCTCTAAATATTTAAATTTTCAGAAAAAGAAGAAAAAAACAAAGAATAATGAAAAACTGATAGATGCTTTGATTTTAACTCTTAGTTAACGTAGGGGCTATTTCTTGGTTCTACCTATATAGTTGGTCAATGTTTGTACTGAATGTATATATATATATATATATATATATATATATATATATATATATATATATATATATATATATATATATATTTGTGTGTGTGTGTGTGTGTGTGCGCGTGTGTGTATATATATCACCTTGGCTTAATATTTAATTACTAAAGGAACAATTCTACTTGCAAATTATTCATCAAAACTAAAAAACATACATTAAATAAAAAACATACTTATTATTATAATATTTCCATAACTTTAATGTTCTTTCAGTAGGTAAAAGTACATCCTTTCGAATTACTATCTAACCAAAAGTAAAAAAAAAATATATACTTCAAATTTATTTGAAAATGTAAACAATCTTTTAATAAAACTTACAGTTGCTAACCATGAACTGTCTTGCGATAATGCTATTCGTTCAATGCGACTAGGGTATATATGACGATCCTCAACAGATGTTATCAGGTTTTCACCAACAACATCTAGCTAGAAAATAAATTAATTTAAATAGAATAAAAAAAGCTGAAACAACAACAAAAAAAATGAAAAAACTTTTTGACATAAATTTAACAGCTTTAAACTTTGAAGTCATATTATAAAAAGATTTTTTTTAAAATCTGTCATCAAAATCAATTAAAATTTAAATAAATCATAAGTTTATAAAACATAAATAAGTATAAAAAACAAACAAATAATTTATAAAAACATAAATAAAAAAAAAACAAAAACAAAACAAAAAAAAAACCAGCAATATTATTAAAAAAATCTCAAAATTAAATTTAAACAACTCAAGATAAAATGAGTTGCTTAAATTCAGTGGGTATTCTTGTCTGATCTAAGGTCAAAGATAAAGAACTTTGTTTTCTATTTTTAATCTTAAACAAAAACAAAACAAAAAGCTAATAAGACCAAGTCCACTTTATTTTAGACTTTGTCTTATTAGCTTTTTGTTATGTTTTTAAAAATAAACCAAAACCAAAACAAAACAAAAAGCTAATAAGACAAAGTCCACTTTTACAATCAGATTATAGAAATATACTAAATTAAAAATTTGAGAAAAAAATAAATTATCAAAACACAGCGTTCCATTTTTGATGACTTATATTGTTATTTGTAAGAAACATTTATTATGCCTAATTCCTGGTTGTTTTAATGAAATTAAAGTTCACACAATATATCAACTTTCTTCTTGCTAAATGTTTTACATAATGGCCCTTATAAAAATAAATTTAATTCTCATGGTTCCACATTTATACATATACATATATTTAACACAGGTTTCCAAATGCTTATTTTCTTATTTAATTGACATTAAGACTTATTTAAAGAAGTTAAAGCAATTTTTTCACAATTGTAAAAAAATTGCTTTAACTTCTTTAAATAAGAAAACCCAGTCTTTCACAGGAAGACGCGCTATCGCACATATATATATGACCACGCAAAAAATAATATGTTTGCTTTTGACATTTTTTTCAAAATTTAAGAATGCGCTACAAAAACCTTCCTAAACACTTATCTAAAAAAAAACTTTAAAAAAGAAAAAATAATCTTAACAAAAGAGAAAATAAAAAAAATACTTAACTAAAGCAAAAACAAAACAAAAAAATAAAAATATGTATAACCCAACTAAAAAAAAACTCATCAAACTAAAATGCTTAGTCTATTTAATTTACGCATTAAAAAACCATTTTTTTAATTTTTGTTTTAACATTTGAACTTTGTTTTTTTTATTTATTTAATATGTTTCAAATGGTAAACAACTATCATTAAAAAAATACATAATTATATAAACAAAAAAAAAAAAACAGTTTATTAATACATATTTTTTAAATTCATTATAAATTTTTTGTTACTTCATTGAAAAGCGTTTCGATAATATAAGCAGAGTTACCACCATTATTTAGCCACAGAATTCCCGGATTTTCCCTGATTTTTTTGCCAAAATTTTGCTTTTTCCTCCCTGATTTTCCCTGATTTTTCGCTAAAATTTTGCTTTTTTCTCCCTGATTTTTCCAGATTTTTCCCCTTGAATTTTGCTTATTTCCACCTGATATTTCCAGCATTCAAATGCCCAAACTTAACATTTAAACTTCTCCAATAACCCTAGAGCATTTTTACCTTTAAAAAAACAGATACTATAATCCCCCAATGAGTAATGAACCAATCAATTTGCTTGAAATTAAAATAAATAATCAAATACTTCAATCATCATATAAAATTTTTCTTTGAACCACGGTATATTTAAAACGGATATGTTCAATAGACATTGAAAACCTGTCAGACTTATTTAGGGTACAAGATAATGAAATTCAAAAAAATATAATGAATGTAATAAATTTCTAATTGTATGTTTTACATACACCTTTTAAATTTTTTGCTTTTCTTTAGGTCCCAATATTTCTTGATCTAAAAGCATTATCACGCTATTTTCTTTTGCTTAGAGTTTTCTATTTTCCTCCTATAGTTTTTATATTGTAATGAGGCACTACAAACAGCATTTATCATTTCATTGTTTATTTCTATTTTGTTAGCCTTCAATTTGTTTGACTTCATAAAATTCTTGATAGTGCGACGAGATATAAGTGACATTCCTTTCATTTTTTCACTGAGCATATTACTGGTAATACTGAAACCTCTTTCAATTGATGCTTGCTCAAAATAAATATCAAAACTTTTGACAAAATCTTATAATTTACACCAACTTTAATGGTTTCAAAATGAAACTTGTTTAAACAATTTCTAGTGCAAAAATATTTGAATACAAGTAAAAGAGTAGATAAACTTTCCTCTAACATCTTTAAAAATTTTATGAAAGCTTGATCACATTTATGTGAAGTAATATGTGAGCAAGAAAGAACTAGATGTAGTACAGATTTCATCTGATGAAGATCAGCTTTTTGTTGAGAAAAATTTGACACTGGACTGATGCAACCAGTTGCTTTTAGAAAAGAAACTCGATTCAAACTTCTTTCAAATATTTTTTCCAGAATTCCAATGATAATGAGACGTAATCTTTTATGAAACTGTTGATGACATCCTGAGATTATGCATCTTTTTTCCTCAATTCGATTATTTCATATTCTGCAGCAAATCCAATTGTCATTAATTTTAATAGCAGAAAGTTTTCCTTTTTTATAAAATCATATTTTTGAAGTTGCCTGCCATTAACGATACTGCTAAGGACATCTTGTTTTATAATTAAACCCATTCAACTTTTAACAGTTGAGAACAAATCTTCAAAAAGAAAAGGAATCATTGGGGCATTGGTTTGATATCTCAGTAAGATTTTCTGCAAAAAACTTGCAATGTAACCAAAAAACTACAATTTAGTCAAAGTTAACTCATCTTTTGTTCCCCCGAACCAGAGTTGCTAGTCCTTGGCCTTGACCTTGCCTTAAGACGAAAAATTGAGGCCTTAGACTTAATCTTGGCTTTGAAACTGTTAGCCTTGGACTTGGTCTTGACCTTGAAAATTTTGGTCTTGGCCTATTAAAAAAAAAACGAGTTTTCTTATTGATTTTGTTTAATTCTGCCCATACCCTTGGTCAATTTTTACAAAATGTGGTTTTATTGTCACACCACTTGCTAGTTACAGTTGTGTTAATAATTGGCCTTAACGCAAGTCAAAAATTAAAGTATTTAGTCTTAAAAATGTTTGCGTAGACGTTGGCCTTGAAACTTTTAATTTTGGCCTTGGCCTTAAACTCTTGGCCTTGGGTTTGTCCTTGGCCTTGTAACCTTTGACCTTGATCTTGGACTTGTAACGCGTGGCCTTGGCCTTGGTCTTGATACTTTTGGCCTTGTTAACAACTCTGTCTTGAACACTTGTCATAGCTCTTTCATTCTGGTTGCTTACTTTTAAGAAGAGTCTCCCAATACTTGGTTAGTTTTTTTAACATTCTCCCAAATTAAACAAAGTCAATCTGCAATTTTTTGATCTACAACCCAATATTTTGAGCAAAATACATAAGGAAAACACTCACATTCAGTAACAGTTACAAAACCAGCTCTTCTAGCCGAAGAATCATAAATAAAGGTTGTATGATGTTTTCATTACCTTCTTATTCCATTCAGCAGATTGAAAACCTGATTTGAAACCATGTATTAAATGGAGGTTACAGCTCCCAACGTTAAGAAGTTTAGGTAGCTCTTGTTGATCATGCTGCAATTCAAGAAGATTAAGAAGACCAGTTCACATTTGTACCTTCTATACTTAGTTGAGTCATACTTTTAAGTAAATTCTTTGCTGTAGGGTGACCTAAAAATTTAGAGTCAAAGTATCTGGATTCAACATGATTTAGATGGCTGTTCCAAAACTGAATATTTAGATCTAATTGGCCATTTTTAAAAGAATCGTTCAGACTTTCATCAAGTGAAAGAGTATAATAAGGAGATTTTTTTATATTTTCAGTTAAAAGTCTGTAAAAATAAGGCCCATTACCAAAATTAATTATATGACCAAGTTTTGTTTCACTCATCTCATAAGATTTAGCAATATTGCTATCAGGGAACATTTTCTGGTAAAGTACGCCATTTTCATTACATGAGTTTAATGAGAAATTATTCTGTATTGCATTTAAAACAGAGTAGATTTCTGTACAACTTTTATCACATTAATATACTGTTTGAAGTGCTTGCTTTATAGGTGTAGACTGTGCAGGCAAGATACTGGCTTTGACTTTTGTGCATGTTTTTTGCCATCCATGTGACTTATCATAACTCATCTGCATATTTGACAAATTAAATTCAACTTTTCATATTTTGCACTTGGCAAACTTATTTACACTGCCTATTACCAGCCATTTTTCAAACAAAAGATCACTTAACCATTTTTCTTTGAATATGATAAGGTTTCTTGTTAAATGTTAAACATTAACTCTGGTACCCTTAAATTGGTAAAATGTTAAACATTAACCCTGGTACCCTTGAAAAGTAAAATTTTTATTAGAAAAAATATCAAAACATTAAAGAAAAAATTAAAAAGTTCCCTGATTTTTTCCTAAATCAATCATTTTTCCCTGATTTTCCCTGATTGTATCTAAATTTCCCTGATTTTCCCTGAATTCCCTGATTTGGTGGCAATCCTGTATAAAGCATTCAAGGTCAAAAATATTTAATTGCAATGGCTTTCTAAAACATTTGTCTTTTTTTTCTCAATGAAATTTTGTTTATCTTTTTAAATGTATTAACTTTAATTATTCTTATATTAAAATTCAAAAAAAGAAACTTTCGTTGTGGTAGAATGTTGTCATTTATAAAAACATAACAACTTTTTAATTTTTAATAAAGTTTATTATAGAAATGCGCACTTAAACAATTTATATATTATAAATAAAATTTAAACAAAATAAAATAAAAAATATATACAGCTTTTAATTATATTAAAAAAAAAAACATCAGTAAATTGATACTTTATTTAAAAGCATTTCGCTAATATAAAAACATTTGTTAAGAAGTTTTGATGTAGTTAATTTAATATATATATTTTTTTAATATTTTTTATTTAGCGCATTTTAAAAAAGTTTTTGAAATAGCAGCAGTCAAATTGTCATAGCAAAATATAATTTGCCTGGTCATATAAAGGCGTGATATATAATATAATTTGCCTGGTCATATAAAGACGTTTCACAGGAAGACGTGCGATCGCATGTCTTTCTGTGAAAGACTGTAACCTGTTTTAAATTAAAATCAGTAGCAAGTGTTTTTATTGTGATAAAATAGTAATCTCTCTGGTGTTACCTTGGGAAGGTAACATCAGAGAGATTACCTTCCCAAGGTTGACAAGCTTTTTTTACTCTTATCTTTAATTTATAAATTAGATACCCTAAATTATTTACTTACCTTATCATGTAACAGTTTAAAAAAAAAAAGGCAACCTAAAAATAAGTTAATACTTACATTAATTTTAACCATATCATGTTGTGGATTATAAAATTGAATAACTCCATCAGGTTTCCCATTCATAACAAGACAATCTGTTTTAGAGTCATAAGATATTCCGGCAGGAAAATCATTAGCTACAAAAAATATCAAAATTTTTAAAGAACTTTATAAATATAACTTTATGAATATATATATATATATATATATATATATATATATATATATATATATATATATATATATATATATATATATATATATATATATATATATATATATATATATATATATATATATATATATATATATATAGTTTTAAAGAGAACGCTAATAAATCAGACCAGAAAGAGTTTAAAAACTTGAATAACATTTCATTTTTTAAAATGATAGATTGCTAGTCCAAACCAAACCTTTTTAGTCATTATCAGTTTTTTAAAAAACGATAAAACTTAATGTACTTCCACACTATTTTATTTGTTTTAACTTTTAGATGACATTAAAATGTGGCTTAATTGTTAAAGTTGTTAAAATTTTGTTTAAAGAGACTTTTTTTATCATATAAGGCTCTTTTGACTACAATATAAGGATATATATATATATATATATATATATATATATATATATATATATATATATATATATATATATATATATATAATATATATATAAAATAGTAACAATAATAACACAAGTTTACCAATAGAGAATCCTTTTATAGCTTTTGTTAACTTGGTATCGTGAACTGATAACAGTTTAATAACTAAATTAAAAAATGTTATTTTAATATTATCAGTATTCAGCAATATATAAAAACTTTATGTCATTGCGTATATATTGTGAGTATGTACACTATTGCATAAAAGCATTATTTTTTGTATTCTCATAATTAAATTTTTTTCAAATAAATTAATTATTATAAACAAATGGTGAATTTCAAAATTAAAGATTTTTTTTATTTAAGTTATTAATGATCTATATTGCAAACATATCTAAAATAAAAGTTGATTTAGCATCTTGGAAATTATTAATACAAATTAAATTATTAATAAATTTACAGGGCTCGAATTTAAGATCACGAATTGCAATATCTGGAAATGCTTCTGGTCTTTAAATTTTTAGCTTTTTAAAAACCATAAACTCTGTTTTGATCTCAAAAGCTGTCATTCAATAAAAAGTATTTATATTGATTTTGAATTATGATAAAAAATCTTATTGCAAAATATTATTTTATATATTACTTTTACTTTTATTATTATTAAATATTATGATTTAAACTTTAATATTTAATTCATTTTATAAATCATCAGATACAACTAGGAAAGTAAGGCACGTTAAAGTTCAATGTAATTATTAAAAAAAAACTGCTAATCACAATATTATAAAGGAATTTAGTGGTGATTAAACATTATAAATTAAAGAAATCGTGAAATAAGATAAATACTTTTATATCATACTTAAATCTTATTCAATATTTTCTTATAAAAAAAACGCTCACAACTTTTTTGCAGATATGTATACAAAATTAAAGACAGAGGAGTTTAAAAATATATAAAAACTAATTTAAACTTTATATTTAAAGTTATATAAACTTTTTAGTTATTTTAAAACAAAACAACAAAACTCTCATGACTTATTTCAACTTTTCTTTTTTTTTTTTTGTTATTTTTATTAATTTTAATTTTAATAAAATTTAATGAACAATTAATTAATTTCTAATTTAAAATATTTTTATTTTTTTGATATTAATATTTTATACAATGCACAAATAGCTTTAGCATAATTTTTTATTGGTTGATTTTTTAATTACCAAAATTTTTAAAAACTTTTATTAATAATCGTTTTTTTCTTTTAATTTTTTTTTTTATATTTATAGTCCTTAAATTACCTGGTGTTTAAAAAACAATCATTAGAAATATGTAAATTTTGACTGTTATTATTTTTGCAGTAGTAAATTTTTTGTCTTGTTTTTTCATTAATTTTTGCAATATGATAAATTGACTCTTTCATTAAAACAGTGTTCACGGTTTTTAATAAATTGAGAATTTAATGACCAGAAATATTTCTGAATATTGCAATTCGCTATCACTTAATTCAAGCCTTGAGTTTTATAATTTACACGTTTCTTCAAGCCTTTTAAGACAGCTTTTAAAACAGCAAAACAATGATGATGAATTGGTAATGGATTGTGACATAAATAATTTTATATGTTTATTATTAAGACATTATTTTTACTCCCTTTAAAAATTAAAAAAAAAAAAAAAAAATGGATGAATTTTTTTTAAAATCGCTTTTTAAAAAAAATTCAACTCCAGTCAAAATGTCTGATTACTTTGTAAATTGAGCAACAATCTGAGGTTTTTATTTCCAACTAAGAAAATGTTTTGAAAAGAATATGCATAACAGGCTATACAAGTTTCTAGAAAAATTTAAATGCCTATTCTAACATCAGTATTTTAAAACAAATATTTCACCACCCTTGTACTTATTGAAATCACTGATAAGATTAGAAGAGTTTGTAGATTTGCAAACATTTGAAACTGCAGGTCACCCCATCCTTCTCACAAAATTGGAGTAGTATGGAATTAGAAGCATTTAACTAAAATAGTTTAATTTTGCCTCATAAAAATTTATCCATAGTTCCTATAAAATTTCTTCATATTAAAGTTGAATTTTATATTTCTTTTCAAGACCATCTAAACCATCTTAGCAATAAACTCAACAGATCTGAATGTTGGCCATAATGCAAACAAAGAAATTGCTAAATATATACCATGCTATTTTTGGGTCCCATCTGATATATGCAAGTCAAGTATGAGAACAAGCCCATAAACAAACCTTTTTAAGGTTTTCTGATCTCTAAAATAAAACCTTAAAACCAATATTTTTTCAGTATAATTACTCAAACTCTAGTGTGCTATACCATATCTCCAATATATTATAAAAATAATAATTGAAATAAATTAAAATTAAATATATTAAATACATTAAATAATTAAGTAATAATTAAATATATTGAAATTAATAATTAAAATATCAAATAATTAAAATCCAATATATTATAAAATTAAGCAACCTTGTGGTATTCCTTAACTGCAAATTTGTCTAGAACCATCAAAAAACTTTATTTATAACTTAATTCCCTTCATGTACTTTTTCCTTGAATGTTACATCTTATTTTAAAACATATTTGATTTGATTTAACATCACTTTTTTATATATATATTATATTTACCATTACTATCGATAGCAAAACCAAGATGTTGTGAATCATTAGATTGAAATAAGTGTAGTATTGATCCACCAACTCGAGGTAAATAGTTTTTTTTATGGTTTTCAAGCTGCCATATAACTAACACACCTTCACTTCCACCAGATACTATATAAAAACCTAGAAAAAAACAAATTTTGTACATAATATTATTATTATTTTTAAATCCATTACAAAACCAACTACTGGATAAACTTATTATTATTCAAAAATAAAATCAGTAAAAAAAAAGGACAAACCATCATTCATAAAAAGCACATCATTTACATAATTATTATGCCAGTGGAGTTTAGAGCAAATCGGTTCTTTCTGCTCTCCACATATATCATTCCATAAGATTAATCTTCCATCTTCATCTCCCGTTGCAATTACGTCTGATGAGGGATGTATGGCCACACATGTTAAACTAACAGCATCATATTTATACTGGACAATACTTTGTTTATTGCAGTTGTATATTTTCAAATATTTTCTGTATATTATTGCTATAAAACTCTCACATTTACTAACTGCAAACTTTCTATAACCTTTGCTAATAACAGATACGTGCAACATTTCTTGAGTTAACACATTATATCGAAATAAAACAGTTTTATTTTTTTCTAAAAAAAAATATAATTTTTATAAATTTATTGTGTTTTGTTTACTTTTTGTTATAAGCTTTATGTATATATATAAATATATATAAATATAAATATATATAAATATATATAAATATAAATAAATATAAATATATATATATATATATATATATATATATATATATATATATATATATATATATATATATATATATATATATACACATTTCTATAGCTTATGGCTAAGAAAATGTTTTTGTGGTAAAAAATGGCTCTTTGCTTGTTTGTGATAAAGCTGACAAAATTAAGGTTAAATTATGTCAAAACGCGTTAATTTAATTGCGGGAAGTAATTAAACCACAAAAATGCAAATTAAAAACTAGAATGTTTTTATTTCATTATAAAAATAAAAATATTGTGAATGTTTTTATTTTTATTTTGTAACAGTAAAACATGCTGACATGCAACGGAGTGCTGCTATATCGACTGAGGTTTTGGTTGGGACAGACAGTCTATCAATATATATATATATATATATATATATATATATATATATATATATATATATATATATATATATATATATATATATATATATATATATATATATATACTTTTTTTATTTTACTTATAATTCTAAAATTATTTGATGTTTAAAAAACAATAATTAAAGTATAAAAACATTTACTATTTTTGCAGAAGAAAATATATAGGTTTTGAAATATGATAAATTGATCATTTCATTAAAAGTGTTCACGGTTTTTAATAAACTGAGAATTTAATGACCAGAAGTATTTCCAAACAATGCAATTTGCGATCATTTAATTAGAACCTCAGCCACATAAAAAAAAAAGGTTCTCAAAACATTCAGAGCGAGATTTGTCATGTATGGGAAAGGGGTTAACTTTGTTATTTAGGAATTCGTCAAGTATGGGGAGGGGGTCACTCCTTCATAATTCAACTCCAAAAATGTTTCCTTTTTGGAGTTGAATTACGAAGGAGTGACCCCCTACCCATACTTGCGTACATAATTTACGAATGGCTCAATGGCAACCAATTTCTAACTCTGAATATCGCTCTCGAAGACTTAAGACTTTTACTCAGAGAATTATTTTTTGTCTATAATTTCAGAGACATTTTTTTCAGAGACATTTTTTGTCTATAATTCTCTGAGCTTCTTTAAGTTAATTAGTACTTTTCACAGTCTGTTTAATGTTTTCTTTTTATCTCAATAGTTCCGTGTAAAATTGTATAAATTAACATCACAATCCTAAACATGATACCAATTTTAAAAACCTATTCTTCCGATATATAATACATGTAAAATAATATATATATATATAATATATAATACATAACAATATATTATACATGCAAAAATATAATTTTATAAACACAACTTTCTTCTAACATGCAATGTTAGCGTGGCTGAGTGGGTTCCGCTTCAGGTTTGTACACCAAGGGTTCTAGGTTCACCTCTCAGTATCAAAGGTATTTTTTTTTTTTTTTAGTTTGTGAACAAAGATTGTTTTTTTGTTGCTGCACACTTTAGTGCACCAACTAAATAAAGTTCTGCACTTGGACTATATAAAGTAAAAGCAAAGAACATGCACTGCATTTAGACTGTTACAGCTGTAACAGTCCATTAATTGAGATGCCCCCTCCCCCTCATAACAAATTGTAACAAAAGTGCCTTCCCCTATAGCATGATGTAATTTATGGATAACCCCTTGTTTTAAAGCGTTACAGATAGAGCGATTTATGTACGTCTTAAGCGATTTTACGTAAGCAGTAAACAATTTTTTGACTTTTAAATTATTCTATAAATGGTAAGATAAAAGAATTAATTTTAAAAAAACTCACATTAACTATTGAATGACATTTATGTAAAAATATATTACAAAATTTTGAATGATAATTATGCTTGATATAAGCACTATTTACTAATGAAAAAAACTCAAATAAAATTATGTTTATTTTTATTTTATTTTTATTTTATTGCAAAGATTTAACCTTGAAGCTAAGATCATTAAAACTTATTTAATAAAAGTATATAATTTTATTCTGATAAAAAAAAAAAAAAATTAAAATAGATTTTAAAAATATTTAAATTAATTTTGATTTAATATGCTCTTTGTCATATTTGTTAATGACCTGCCATTTCATGTCAAATCAGCCATCTGCAAAATGTATGCAGATGACACAAAGCTCATGAAAGTTGTTGAAAATGATGAAAACCGAGCAGGTTTACAATCCCATCTAGACGAGATTGTTAAATGAACGAAAACTTGGCTAATGGAATTAAATGTAAAAAAATGTAAAGTTATGCATGTAAATTCTGGAACAATAAAATTTGATTACATTATGGATGAAATCAAAAATGATGGTACAACCAATAGAGTAGTTTTAGAAGTCACAAATTCTGAAAAAGATCTTGCAATCCTAATCTCCAAAAATCTTAAATATGCTCAACAGTGCAATATAGCTGCAAACAAAGCAAATAATATGCTTGGAATTCTTAAACACACGTTTGTATCAAGAGACATTGACATTTGGAAAAAAAATTATACTGCATATATTAGACCACATCTGGAGTTTGCCATACAAGCCTGGAACCCTTACCTTGATAGTGACATAAAAAAAATTGAAAAGGTACAACGCAATTCAACGAAAGTTCCTCATGCTTTGAAAAATAAAGACTACAAAACTCGATGTAGAATCATGAAATTAACTACTCTTGAAGACAGACGGAAAAGAGGCAATCTTATTCAAAAATATAAGCTTCTCAACAATTTAAACCTAATTGATTGGCACGTAATGCCTGGCAGCATAGCACTTAGAGTTCAACATTGAATCAGATTTCATTGCGAGATTGTCAGGAACTGCGAAATCAGACATTTCGCAGTTCCTGACAATCACGGTTGTTAAAAAACAAGTTTTTTAACAACCGTGGTTGTTAAAAAACTAAAACAACCAAGTTTGACAACATACACGGTTGTTAAAAAACAAGTTTTTTAACAACCGTGTAGTCAATGACTGGAATGCTTTGCCAGATAATGTCATCGAGGCAACATCACTTGATAAATTTAAACAACTACTAGACAGTTTTCAGTCATCATAGTTGCTACAACTCATCATTTACCGTAATTGCCACACAAAGTGGCTGAAATATGAGTTGGGTATAGATGTGTATACTCAGCTGATGATGAGTTAACAAGGCTGTGGCTTTGTGTAACTTAAATTAACTAACTAACTAAAAAACATATTTAAGTTTATTAAAATTAAAGTTAATGCTTGGGTTTAACTAAACTATCAATATTTAGTAATATTTAAAAATATTACTAAATATTGTTCAATATTGAAACTTTATTTGTTCTTAAAAAAAAATCAGCTTATTTTTGTCGCAATAGTTTCTTTGGTTTAAACATTTTTAAACATTTTTTTTCTTTCTCAAAATTAAATTTTAAATAAATGCCTGCATCAAAAATTTGCACAAAACATAAGTTAAACTTTTTTTTTATAACGCAAGTTAAATTGCAGCAATTATTTTTAAATAAATGATATACACAGTGATACAATTTTAATAATAAAATAATAAACTTTTAGTAAATAAAGTAAATAAATTAACATAATTTTTTTATGTTTTTCGCTAATTTTTTAAAAATAAAAAATCATTTGTAGTTGCAAAGCCGCAATTAGAAATTTAAAAAATAGTCATTTTAAAAAATCAAAAATTTAACATATTTTATTCATTTATGCAAATGTCGAGAAAAGAAAGAAATTTGTTAACCATTTGTTACCACACATTTTTAAAAATGCGATATTAAATTTAACTATTTAATATAAAAAAAAATAAAAGAAAATAAACATTTCCTTATAGTTATAATAAAAAAAGCATTAAACTTGTTTTGCGGTAATTAATATTATTGTAGTAATTTAAAAAAGTTAATGTCTTTAAAAATAATAACAAAATAAAGAGAATTTTATGACGTCAAATATCACGTTAAGCTAATACATTAAGCATTTTTTATTTAAAACAAGGCCCGTTGTGTGAATGTTTGATGTAGTTGTGTGATTGGTTGATTTAGTTATTTGATTGCTGTAGTTGTGTAATTGCTTGTAATATAGTAAAACTAAATATTAGTCAAATTTTTTTTTAAGTATATTTCAACCTGAGACTCAAAAGAAGCAGAACTATATGCTGATTTTGAAAACAATATTGATTTTTATTTAAAATTCAAGTTATAAAAAATATAACAAATTTTAATGTACAAATAAACTATATAGGACTAGTCAAATTCCTCTTAAGATAATCAAACAACCAAGAACAAAACTTGATATTCATTTGGGTGAAATAAAATCTCAGCCAAAACCTTAATTTTTTAATTTGAATTATTATTAGATGTGGTGGCCAGACAATTTTCTTTTTGATTTTAAATCTCTAATAAGCAAAAAATATGTACATTCAGTCACTGACTTTTTCATGACTATTGCAAAATTTAACAAATTTTCTGACTTTTTAATATAGTTTAGAAATTCACTGACTTTTTCAGGTTTTCCAGGTTGCTTGCTGGACTTTATTACAAAATATTTTCCAAGTTATATGAATGTTACGGAAAATATTATTTTCCCTTAAATGTTTTCTATTTTAAATAAAATTAAAAATAGAAAACATTTAAGTGAAAAGATGCTCTTTCATTATAAAATCAGATTATAAAGAATTTTGGGGTTTCTGAAAATTAAAATCAGTCAAAAATTTATTTACCTAACACCAGTTAAATTTTAATAAAACACTTGATGATTATGACATACAATAACTCTATTTGCATATAAACTCAATAAAAAAAAAATGTAGATCATCTTACAAAAAATTAGATGTAACAATTTTTTTTTTTTTTTTTTTGTTATGTCCTCCTCAAGGCTGAGAAGGCCACTGCATATTATTTAATAACCTAAATTAAAAAAAATAGATTCATAGAAAGTAAAAAAAAATTCTTACTTATTTCTTTTTTAGCGGTTGAAACAAAATAAATCGTCACTCCACTTTTTGCTGTTGGCATGTATACATCAAAGATTTTACAGGGAAGGATGAACTTCTAAAGTTTAAATAAATTAATAACTTAATTAAGTTTATAATTTCCATAAAGAAGAAATTTAACAAGGACTTGAGCAACATAACAGACACACAGAAGAGATTTTAGTATTTCATTACTTTAGCAAAGGTAGCATGCAACTTGTTGACATATAAAAAAATATACATTTGAATAAGAAAAAATAAAACGATAACCAAATTTGAGGATTGCCAATTTTATATTTATTTATATTTGTTTTTGTATGAAAACATTAAATAACTTTGAATTATGAGTACAAGTTTCAATGATATTATTTTAAATATTTTAAAATAGAACAAGTATTTAAAATATATATTTTATTTAAAAACACAAAATATTCATAAAAATATCTTATTTTATATATAAAAATTGATCAATAATTTAAAAATTAAAAAGCAGCAAAAAATTTATTGCAATATTTTCAGAGAAACTAATTATACCAAATATAGTCAGAGAAACTATTTAGCTTTTACAATAAAGCCTGATCCTGTTATTGGATCATACCTTACGGAAGTAAAAATCTTTGTGGTCTGTTTCGAATGATTAAAATAAAGATTTCCCTCAAGTTGACTTCATTAAAGTTAGAACTTTCCTAAATAAAATGCACTTTCCAGATAAAATTATCAATTTTTTTCTCAAAAAAACATATAAGAAGTAATTAGAGGCTTCTTTAAGCCTCTAATTACTTCTTATATGTTTTTTAAAACATTAAACCACTCCTAATGAGCAACAATTAAACCACTCCTAATGAGCAACTTTTGAAATTGGATTGTGTTTTTAAAATAGACTGCACACTTTCAGAAATGACAAATCAGCTTAACCATGTTATAAACTTTGTTGTGCAAGGGCATGCGGTGAGATAACAAAAATATGTAGAGGCCCTAGGAAAAATAGATTGATGGGGTTTTGTACAAATAGGATTTTGTGTAATCATGTCTTTGTAAGCATTTTCATTCACACACAAAAAAGGACTAGAAAGTATCTACAAATTAAAGCATTATAAAACTTAATAAAAATAAAATAACACATGAATCTAATAAATCAGCTTATTGTAAATAAAATTTTGTAACTTCAATTTTATTCTTACAATGAATAACCACAATCAATTGATGCATAATTGATCAGATTAAGTAGACCTTTTTCAAAAATGCATTTTTGAATTAGCTCTTCTGAACACTAAATTTTTTAATTTTTTTTATGTGTTTATAAAAATTCCTTTGCATAATCCTTATACAATTACTAATACAAAAAAAATAAATTTAAAAAGATTAAAAACCATTTTTCAAAGTTGAAATTTAAGCTTTCTTAAAAATTATGTATTGAAACTTATTCATAAACATTTTTGTAAATATCTATTGATTTTATTTGGTCGCAGCTTTTGAAAAGAAATTTATATACATATTAACTAAACATATTTTTAAAATTTTCTAAATATATAATATTTAACTAAACATATTTCAAAAAATATCATTTTAACAGTCGATGTTTAAAGAGCTGACTAACACTTGTCAAACTCTTTTGGTTTAAGCGTTTACTCTTAAAGTGCTTAATACAAAAAAGGGATAGTTAACTTTAAGAAAATATACCCACCCTGAGTGTACCAAGATTTTTAAAATTCACTTGTTTATTAAATTTCATTTATTGCCAAACAAAATTATCTACTGAAAAAAATAAAAACTTGGAGCAATCAGGCTTTAAAATGTCAAATTTAAACTAACTAATTAGAATGAAAACTTCTATTGAAATCAGCTTTTAAAAATTCACTAACACTAAACAAGAATTCAAAATGTTATTGAGAGTTTGTTTTGAAAACTGAATAACTTGTATTGTTGTTGTTATACATTTTTGAGTCCGCATTTAGATTCCAGAATTCTTAGTTTTAATTTATTCAATATACATGATACAAAAGCAAAATGATACCCTGTCAGTTTTTAACATATTTGAAACCAAAATTTTTTCAATTTTAGACATACCAAAATCATGAAATGTCATTGCTTTGTTTCTTGTTAAATGATTATACTTGGTAACATCAACAAGTAATAAATACAACGAACTACTTGTAATGGATCATATCTAACATCATATATTACCCTTACATTTAAAAGCTAAAAATGTTTGCTAATAATTTAAATAGAGCTGTTCAGGCTTTAAATAGAGCTGTTAAGGCTGGATCATTTGTTATTTTTTCGTGACTGCAAGTCACGCAATAATAACAAATGATCCAAAGCCTTACTTAAAAAAAAGATGGTTAAAAATGCAAGACTACAACTAAAAAACAAATAATGAGATTTGTTAGTAATACATCTTTATTAGCAGAACCTTGTAAAAAAATTTTGGTATTGTAAAGCTTTATTTCTATAGACTTTCTTACATAAATTCGGACAAAAAAAAAAATCACAAATTTTTAAAATAACACACAAACCTTGTATACAGTTAAATCAGTGCAATCCCACATAACAACCTCATCCTCAGTACAAGATATTACCTACATTTAAAAATATATAAATAATAAACCTAAATAAAGTTCAGTACATGGTATACTTCATGTCATGGACTTTTAACCTGTTATCATAATCTTAAATATTCAATAAATATAACTGATAATTAAATTTTCATACTTGCAAAGGATTTTTTTCATGGGGAAATATTGCAATAACATTTTTTTTGTGTTCGTCAAAAACCTTTTCCAAAACACCAGTTTTTAGGCGAAATATCAACACTTTGCTGCCACTGCTACATACTATATGCCTACAATAATATACAATACACATTAGTATAAGGTAATAAAATAAAACAACAAATAAATTTTAAAAATATCAGCATAAGAAAACCAAAAATGAATAAATTACATAAAATAAAATTTTAAAAAGTATGATCAATATTGTAGGTTGCACAAAATTTTTTGCAATTTATTAAATATTTATTAAACTCAATGCTTTTATTGTATTTAACAATGTTTTTTAGGTTGAGTCGTATGTTACTTACATAAACAAAAATAGTAAAAAAACATCTAGCGCATTTAAATTAATTATCACTTTAGTATTTTTACGTAACTACACAATAATAAATAAAAAAGAGCAAATAAATGATTTTCTTTTATTAAACTTTGCTATTAAAGATTTTTTTTTAATGTTTTGGCATAATTATTTTCTAAATAATGTTGATAATTCCATATGACCAGTATAAGAATTTCATAAAAACCATATTAAAAAAACTTTTTAAAAAAAAACAACAACAATAAAGAACTATAGAGCTGTAATAGTTTTTAAAAATTTTAATATTTTTAATTTATAGTTATTTTAGTTTTACATTTTAAGTTAAAAACTATTAAAAAATTAAATATAAAATTTAACCTACAGAAACTATTCTAAAAACTAAAGAATTTTTTAATACGCAAAATTTTTTAATACGCAAAATTTTTTTTAGTTGTATTATAAACATACTATGTAAAATACAATTTAAAGTTAAATTAATGGATACACGCATATTTAATAACTTAAATAAAACTTTTTTTCATAACAGTTATAAAAAATTTTTCATTTATTTTTTTAATTACATAACAAAATAACAATTTTAAAAGTATAGAACACATTCACTCAAGTTTTAATAACAAAAGTTTTTTCAGTGCAACTTTTAAACTTTTCAAATTAAAAAAAAATGTTTCACAAAGGAGAGTAACCACTGAACTTTTTTAATATAAAAATAATAAGAAACACAATACAAAATAATATTTATAAAATAATAAATCATTTCAATAAAAAAAAACAATTTAATATTTTCTAATAAATCTTTAGACTATTAATATAGATTTTAACAAATTTGAATTGCTTGTTAAAATAATATATATATATATATATATATATAATATATATATATATATATATGCATATATATATATATATATATATATATATATATATATATATATATATATATATATATATATATTATTTTATGGCACCATCCTTTACTTATGGCTTCTCTAAGATTGGTTAAATTCTGTTTACAAACATCTGCTTTTATTTTTAAATAAAATAATATAAAATCAATTCTGCTTTACATCGTTTACTTTGCGATAAACAATGTAAAGTAGCACAATTGCTGGCAGTGATTGCAATTCTCATATACCAATAAAATTTATATTTTTTAAAAGATTCCACTCCAAATCACAACTGTCAGTTATTGCTTAACAGCCAGTGCAACACATCAGAAATTAGGAAAAAATTTGGAAACCCACAAATAATTTTGTTGCAAAACTTAATTGGTCCAGTCTTTGCTTTTATTGAAAAACCTCAAGCAATTTAAATTTTTTTTTAGAAAAGTGATTGATACAGCTAAGGTTGCATTAAAACCACATTCTGCAAGTTAAAATGCTGCAACTACCGTAGTGCTCTTTACAAAATCCATTCCTAACTTACCAAAACGGCTGCAAATATAATTGCTTGTGGCATTGTTTATTTGCAACTTGACTATTATAAACCTTCTATCAAGCACTTACTATAATAACTTTAACATATCAAAAATTATATATTTTGCATTATATGCTATTTTCCTTTCTGTTTAACTAGAAAAACCTTACCATATTAAAAATTAAGTATCTTGCATTATATGCTATTTTCTTTTCTATCTAAAACTGATGATTATTTAAATCACTTATCCAACAATCTGTCAAAGAATAAAAGATATCTGTTATTGTATAAAAAACTTTCAAGATATCTGTTATTATAAAATAAACTAAACCTTCAGGATATCTATTTAAACTCCTAAAAAAAATAAAACAAAAAAAAATAAATAATAATAACAATAATAATTATAATAATAACAGTAATAGTTTACAATATTAACACTAATAAAAATAATAATAATGTTAATTATAAAGATAATAATACCTAAATAATAACAATAAAGACAGGAGTGGTGATTTTATAGTGCTATAAATTAGAAGCTATACCTACATTTATACATTCAACCACTCTCAAACACATACCCACGAAGACAGACACACAAACACACATATATCAGGCTTGGATAGGAATGGTATGCAATTGAGCGCTATTACTGACCACGCAAATGATTTTTTTTTTTGACAACTTGAGCACAATTGTTTATATGTTTTGATGATTAAAACATTTCAGAAATGTGTTGAATGTAAAAATGCTGAGCTAAACATAAACTAGAAAAAAAGTTAAAGCTAAACTTAAACTAGGAAAAAAAAAAATTTTACTTTCTTTTTTCATTAAAAAAGAAAGAAAAAAAAATTCTTACAAAAAAGAAATTATATAAGCACTTAAAAATAAAAATTAAAAACTTAAACTCTAAGCAAAACTTTTTGTTACGCATTTAATTACATTTGAAATAAATGTTATTAAAACTTATCTTTTTAAACATTTTATTAATTAGCAATTTTATCAAATTTATTAAAACGTTGCACAAAAAAAATTATTAAAAAAAATAAAGTTGTCTTTTTAAAATAGTAATTTTTAATAATTTCATTCTTTAATAAGTCTAGTTAAAAAAAAGGTTTTCGACTTTTAAAATAGGAAAAAATAAATAAATAAAATGCGCCTGCAGTTTAAATAAAATAAACTACCAACAAGCTAACTTAATTTAATTTTAATTTGAGCGTTACAACTTTATTAATGAGCGCTTTAAGTGACGAATTTAAAAATTACTATAGAAGATTTAAACTCATTCCTATCATAATATAATAAAAAATTATTTAAAAAAAAATAAAAAATAAATGTTTGTTTAAAATATTTTATAAAACGTAAGTTTAATTATAAAAATTATTTGTATGAAAATTACCAAATGCTTCAAAACTTTTCTATTATTCAACAAGATTTAAGTAAATAAAGTTATTTTATATTCTTGCATAATTTATATAAAATGAGTAAAAGCTATTAGTCACAAAAGGTCTTGAACTTATTTTAAAAATTCTTTCTAAAAATAATGGTTTAAAAGATTTTTAGAAAGACATTGAAAAATAATTTCAAACATTTAAATTTATCATAAAAAATACATGCCTACATAAAAAAATTTATATATAACATTTTTTATTAATTTACACATTATTACATTAATTTACATTGTTTGTGTAAACAATCATTATAATTATCTTTTATGGTTTTATTTAAAGCCTTTGCAAAAAATAAAAACTTTAGAAAAGATCAACGATTAAAAGTTATTCATAACATAACACTTTTTTTTATTGCATTTAAATTGTTAAAACATCAAAATAGCCGTAGTCAAGTTTTAAAGAAAAATAAATATTAGCGTGGTCAGTTACAGAGTACTATCGCACGCCATTCCTGCCCAAGCCTGATATATATCTAATAAATAAACACATGTAAATAAGTAGATATATTATACATACACACATATACATATTCTTATAAGCACAGATATATATACACACAATGGATATAAATATCGCAGCCGTGGCGCAGTGGTTAGAGCGCTTGTTTAAGACGCAGAAGATCCAGGCTCGAAACAAGCTCTGGACATGTTTTCGCATCACGGTAAGGAAGGAGGCGCGAACTTCCTGGTTAAATACACTTTCGCTGTGCTCTGTGAAAAGACCGTTAGGTCTTCTTGGGGCACCTAAATAACATTAAAAAAAAAAAAAAAAACATATATATATACAAACAGGTTCATACACGCAATCAAATACGAAACAGAAAGGTAAGGAGTAGAAGAAAGTGAATAGGTTTAAAAATAAGAAAAATTAAAAAGTGTTATAATTAAGAACAATAGTCAAAATTAATTAAAGATATAAGACAGTAATAATGTGTTAGAACTTTATTAAGTGTTTTTATAGAGGATAAATTTTTTGAATTTGGCAATGAAAGCGGTTCTAATGTTTGGAAGATTTAGTTTTATTGAAAATCGGAGATAGTTTCAAGAGTGAATTGACTGGTATTTAGTAGATTGAATACCATATTTGCTTGTTTTTTTTTTTGAAGGTAGAGCTAGGTTATAACAAGATACAGAACTAAGTTTGTAATTATGAATAACACTTGTGAATATAAATTAATTGTTGAAAGCAATAGACATGGTTTTATGAGGGTAACCATTGTCCTGGCTTTTATGCAAGAGAGTGCAACACCAAACTAGTTAATATTATTTTAGCTCTGCATTCTCCTACGTAAAAACCGAGACAATGGTCACCCTAGGTATTATAAATGATGTCCCACACAAAAACACAGTTAAACAAATAGATGAGTTCATCTAACTTCAAAACATTTAATGAACTAAAATTTGAATTAAAATTTGTCTGAATTAAAATTTCTTTGCCAGAAATATACTATTGGTATAGACTTATTTTGAAGTTTATAAGATTTTTAATTTGAGTACATAATTTTAGAAAGCATTCTATTAACGTTAATATAGAGTAGAACAAAAGCGGATAGAACGAAATAGAGGATAGAATGAAATAGTTATGACAATGTTTATGTTTTAGCTTCTACTTATTTATTAAATAAACAGTTTAACAAATAGATAAGTTCATCTAACTTCAAAATATTTAATAAACTATACAATAAGTCTGAATTAAAATTGCTTGGCCAGAAATGTACTATTGGTATAAACTTATTTTGAAGTTTATAAGATTTTTAATTTGAGTAGATAATTTTAGAAAGCATACTATTAGTTTGACTTAATTTGCAGGATATAAGAACTTTGCTTGTTTTGAACTCTTTTGGCATATTTGCACCTCAAATTTAAAAAGTCCTAGTAGGAAACATGAACAAAATGTCATTAAATCAAAAAAAATTATAATATCTTTTTAATGAAAATTATAGTACTTTGTTTACATAATTTATTTTTAATTACTAAATTATAATGAAAAAAAACAACATACATTTACCTTTAATCAGAAAACTTTAATAGAATTAATCTGAAAAAAGAGAAAAAAAAACTTACTTTGAATCTGCTGTTATAAAGGGCTTGATTTTCACAAAATATTTGTTACACTTATAAGGATAAACATCAGAAGCGGTACACTGTTTTTTAGCAAATAATTTTTTTTTGTTTTTGTCTTTTCGAGCAGCATTGTGCTTTTCATCCCCCATTTTTATTTACCATGCTATTTATACTAGACTCATAGTTCTAATAAATATTATGTAGCGTAGTCTCGAAATATTTCTGTCCGGTTACGTAGCGTAAATAAGAGTGTTGCGAAGGTAAAATTTATCGGTAAATTTACCAGAAAATTTACCGGAAAATTTTAAAAATTTAGCGTCTGGGAAATTTTTCTAATTTTATTTGTCATAAAATTTTTTTTTTTTTTTTTTTGGAAAACTTACCCTCTCCGATATAAAATTTACCTGTAAACTTTGAATCGAACTTAACCGGAAAATTTGCGTCACTAGTAAATAATAACGGTTGGGATGTGAATTTCCACTTCAATCAGATGTTTGACCAGTTTATCCTCCCCGCTTCCCAACTTTCATCTCCAAAAACAAATATATAAAATTACATTTAAAATACATGTAATAGATATTTAGGAACAGTAAAGATTTTTTTTTTTGCATTATAAAACGTTAAGGGGCTATCCCCCCATAAAATTTCAAAATTTTCTATATTTTTTTTTTTTTAATTTTAACTCTTTCAAACTATGCAGAATCATAAAATTTGTTTTGGATGTATCAGATTAATCTTTAACTATCTTAAATTGTCTATTTAAGTTAACCACCTCTTAAGTAATTTCCTTAGCAACGCCATAGCAACGCACTTAAACAATTTTATACACCATACTTTTACCTTAATTTCATCCAAAATAGTGTTACACTTGCAATGCATAAGCTTGAACAACTTCTTGATGCGTTTTTCTAGAACTTACAAATACCTTGGTACATCAAGTACGACAATATTCTTCAGTTCAGTCAGTTCTTGAGATTTTATTAGGTTAGTTTAACTAGTAAAAATGGGAAAAGCTTGTCGAGTTAAGAAATGTACACAAACTCATAAAAAAAGGAAAAGGTTTATGGGAAATGCTCAAAATTCTGTTAATACTGTTATTGTATCTGATAGTACTAATATCGAATGGCCGACAATAAATCCAAGTGCCTCTAACATCACTTGTGTTACTGAACCAATTTTTGAAAATCCACCTAATTTGTCAGCTTCAGCTCATAAAATCTAAAACTTATAAGATACAATTATTTCAAAACCTGCCATATCTGGTTATCGTATAATTTATGTTGCTGTTTTAATGTCTATTTTAAGTTTTGTTCTGTGTCCAGAGTGTGGTTGTTCAACACTCTCACTAAGTGAGAGATATACTTAATGACGTGGTTTATCATCCTTACTATATCTTAAGTGTATGAAAAGAGGTTGTAACTATTTTCAAAAGTTCTACACTTCTAACTATGACAATAAAAAAGAATTTGATATCAATAAACAAATAATTTATTGTATGCGATTATTGGGTCATGGATATGCAGGTATCAAAAAATTATGTACCATTATGAATCTACCTAAGCCAATGACCAAAAACAATTTTGAAAAACTGATAAAAGTAATTTCAAAAGCTGTTAAAACTGTAGCAGAACAATGTTAAATGCTGCTAATAAATTGCAAAATACAGCTTTGAAAGTAACCGATATTTGTTTATCTTGCGATGGAACATGGCAAAAGCGAGGATACTCATCACTCAACGGAGTCTTTTCTGTCATCTCTACTGCTAGTGGCAAAATTTTAGATGTTGAAATCATGTCCAGATATTGTAAAAGTTGTAATTTAACTCAAAGCCCCCAAAAATCTGATCCAACTGGTGTTGGCATCACTATTTCATGTTGCTTCCTCAAAAAATAATAGCTTACATTTCCCACACTGCAGACAGCTGGTGCAAATACAATGCCGATAAAATAAATAAGACACCAACCTATAAGCCAGGGCCGGGTTTACCAATAGATGTCATAATGAAAGTAAGACCTATATTTAAGGATTTAAGTAAAGACATTGAGTTACAAAAATGTTTGCACGGTAAGACACAAAATGCCAATAAATCTTTTAATGGAATGATTTGGAAGCGTATACCAAAACAAACATTTGTATCACTTACGCAATTAGAAATTGATGTATATGATGCTGTTGCCAATTTTAATATTGGAGCAAAAGCATCTATTGATATTTTGAAGCAACTGGACATGGAACTTTGATATTTTGAAGCAACTGGACATGGCTTTCATATGATTGCAGGATGCAAATCATTAAATTATGAAAGATTCCAAAAAGCAGAAATTAGAATGAACCCTGTTAAAAAAGTTAAGAAGGCAAGTATTACGTGCCAAGAAACTGAAGAAGAATGAGAAAATAATTGAAAAAGAAGGTGACTTGTATGTTCCTGGTGGATTTTAAAAACTTTGTTTATTTTTCAACAGTTTTTATGAAAAAAATTGTATTGTTTTCAAAATTTTTGACTTAAATCGTCTTTTTCTCAAAGTAGAAATTTGTGCACGCCGGCCAAATTATATGGAGAACCGCATTACATTTTTGTATGAAATTTTCAGGAAGTGTTTATCATATTAAACTCTGTGAAATGAATGGAATGGAATTTATTTATTTTATTAAAAATATATATATATGACCTAAAATCGATGAAAATTTTGACCATGATCTTTGATTGCGCCATTTTGATGATGGCAAAATGTTATGAAAAATCTGATCCATTCATTTCACAGCCCTACTTTATGATAATATTGTATTAAAATTTTAAAAGGTAAATATGTACACATATTCTTATATTTTGGCCAGCGTAAAGTTATTTTTTGGTCATTTTAGGGGTATTTTTTGGTTACCAAGGAAACCACCAATTTTTTTTTAATTTTTTTTTTAAAAAGGTTTATATTTTACTAAAACCTAGAAACCCATAACATTTTTTTTTTTTTAATACTTAGATTTAAAAACAGAGGGGGGTAGCCCCTTAATATTGAGTAGAACAAAAGGTGATAGAACGAAATAGAGGATAGAGTGAAATAGTTTTGACAATGTTTATGTTTTAGCTTCTACTTATTTATTAAATAAACATTTTTCAAATTTCAAACTTTTTTATCATGCTGTTGAGAATCTTTTTCTCAATAAAATGATGCAAAATTTTGATTCAAATCAAATAGTTTTTTTCTATGAATAGTCAAACTTTCGGTCGCGAAACAATTTTCTTTTTTTAAAAAAAATGGTCATAAAGTTCTTGAAAGTAAAATTTGTTAGCATTTCACCGGAATTAGCAAATTAAATTTGCTGTTTCCGGTAAAAAGTTATGAGTTAAAAACAAAAACAGCGATCTATGGGGTTGAATGAAATACACCAATTATTTGCTTAGTAAATAGGGCTTTTATTAATTAATTGTTTCTAAACTGAACGATGAATCTTTATAAATACTTTGTTCAACTTTTAAATCAATTAATATCAAATCTATTCTAATATAAAATATGTCTTAAATAACTTGCGCGTAAAATAAAAAATAAAACAAACCGTGGACCAGGTGGCACTTGCAGTGGCAAACTTTCACTCAACAAAGCTGCTCAATCATTCAACATACCAGTAGCAACTCTTTAACGACATAGATGAAACAACTGGCAGTTGTTTAAAAACAAGATTGTTGCAGCATAAGCTCATCAAGTTATCCGATTGGGGCCATGGTAAAACATACAATGACGTCATCACTTTAGTTACCGACTATTATATAAACGTAACATCTCCGACCGGATGGAACAATTCGTGCTGTGGCTCAATGACGTGTATTTACCCGCCATGAAAAAAAAAAAAGTCCAGGTAAATAATTTAGTCGATTTGTTAGAAATTAGGTTAATCAACTAACTATTTTCTTAATTAAACCAAACCTTGATTAATCAGCTATAAGTACTCATATTTTTGTCGTAGATGGACACTTGACACATTTTAGCTCTCGGGTTGTACTTATTTGCGTCAAAAACAATAATTTGTTAATTTGCTTACTAGCTTTTGTCTCATATTTTGTAGCCACTAGATGTCTAAGTTTATTGCCATGTCAAAAAATTTTGACGCAATTTACCTTATGAGTTTTATGCAGAGACAAAGTTCAGCAATATGTCAAAAGAATGTTTTAGTAAACTGCAAGCAAAATCTTTTTAGCTGTGGTGAAGTTTTTACACGCAAACAAATATTCACTGGATTTCAAAACACTCGTTTGTCTCCACTCAATATCAAGAAAATTGATTAGACTAAATTACAAAATGCTTATACGTTTAAAACACTTTTATCTCAACCTGAGTTTTTTTCATCTCAAACACCAGAATCTATAGAAGTGCTACCACCAATTTCAGTCACTACCTTCTAAATCTCCATTAACAAAATCCAAGTCAAGCTCCAAAATCAATTCTACTGTTAACTCGTCTATAACCAACTTTTAACATAAATCCGGGTGTTCAAAAAGAAATTCAAAAAGAAGCTGAAAAAAAATCCAATTGCTTGCCGCAGGTTTGTAACAAATGTTTTGCATCTAAGACGTTGACGCAAAAAAACGAAAAAATATAGATAAGCCAAGATGCTAAGGGGAGTGCTCAATAAAGATGAAATATTAGAAAGATGCTGACAGGAAAAAAGCAGCAAAGCAAGTTGGAAAAAATTTGACTTTGATAATGAGTTGCAGATAAATGAGTTAACAACAAAGACACCAACAACAACAACACCACCAAACCAAGTCAAGTGTAAAAAGTACCGTGATGTTTTGAGCGAAGTTCAGTAAATCAAAATAGTGAATGATATAATTGCGACAATTTAAAATGCAAGGTTTGTAAGGTTTGTACAAAATGTAAGGTTTGGCTATGTCAAACATACATTCCGAAGCGGTATATAAAAGTCACCGAGTTTTATTGCACCAAATAGTTCAATAAAACTTAACTCAACCTCCAGAACCTCTTGAAGATTCACCATCATCAAATGAATAAAAGCATATTTTTTATTAATGGTTGCTTTTTATGTCGTTATCATTAATTGAATTTTTCTAATTAAGCATTATTTTAATTACCCGTCAGTTTGGATATTTCATTCTCCCCAAATATGAGGGTAGAATGAAATAGTTTTTTTTTTTCCAATTAAATAAACCTTCTTAAATAACTTTTTA